CGTAATCCACGATTCTGCCAATGAGGCTGCTTGCTAAATGTATTGTTGTCCAGAGGATGAAGGACACAATTATTGTAGATTTGAATAAGGGAATCGCAGTAAAGCACGAACGTGACTGATCGCGTCAGGGAGTGTGGCAGGTCCTCATCAATAATTTGCACCATCTTGAAGGAAGAATTTTATGTTTGTGTTTTTCGGGGGACGGGTGTTCATGCAAGAGTCCACCATCAGAAGCCAAAACAGCACCAACAAGAAGTTAGCATTAGTAATCCCTCAGTCATTCAGCAACTAGTGTAGGTCATCTGCATGTGTGGACTAAGAGCCTGGTACGCGGACTAGGGGTCGATGTGGCGGTTCTGTGAATTCTGGTCACAGACCTGTCAGACCTGTGTTGCTGGTAGCCCAGAATGTTACACCTGTCCTAGGAAGTCGAAGTGCAGACCCACCCTTCGACCGCCTGACATAAATGACCTCAAGAAATTGGGCATGTTTATTCTGGAAACTTATCAGTGGAGGTGTGAATAAGGGCTTATCCCGCGAGGGCTACGCAGCACATATGACTGACATTTCGGACACGTTTTTGAGACTATTATCAGTAGCCTAAAACTGTTTGCTACTTTGTTGTGCATGTGCAGATTTTAGTTGGTCAATTTTGTAACCAATCAACATTGGAGATGACTGAACGCGGATGAGCTACCCGCTAGATACACGAGTGGAAATTTGAGTAACTTGGCTCTCCCCGCAGATGGCAAACCGGTTCGCAATTTTGAGATTCAGTTTGTCTGTGTTAAGGCACCTGTCTATCCCAAACATGAGCGGGAGCAGCAACTATACGTCCTTGGTTGCTCTTCAACTAAATTCCCAACGGCGAAAGGAAAAAACCCAAAACTTCTTATTTCTATGGCAATCATCCGGTGGCTCATAAACGCAGTTGTGTGAGAATACTTTTCAACCGGATCAAGATTTACCGCAGGGACTCGGAAGAAAAAGCACGCGAAGTGTAATATGTCTGTGATCAATTTACGCCCAATGGCTATCCGAAAGTTTTCATAAGCGTTCGTCTTGTGAACTCAAAACAGAAATATCTCAAACCGATGGCATGGTCTGTCATAATATAAGGACGTTTCAGGTGCGCCCGAGCCCATTGTTACGGAATTAGGTGTTCGAAATGTATACCAACACAAAGCTACCAAGTGCAGAAACGTCGTGAATGTCAGGAGCCAATCAAATCCGAAAGCGTAGTCTGAGGTATTGTGTCGCATCCCATGCGTAAATCGTTTATGTAATTACACAGGTTAGACAGACAGCATGCTGGGACTGCAAATACATGAACTTAAGGTGGCTGTGCGACTGGGTGAAGAGTTACCGTAAGTGGTAGCTGACACTTCGAAGAAGCTAGCTTCGACAAACGCACACTTTCGATTATTCATCCTCAGGTTTGTGTAATTTCGGGTACAGCAGCAGACGTTACAACAGCTAATGAACAGTAGGATGAGGAGATGGAGGGATAGGCTGCTTGTTCAGACCTCTCTTAGCAGACTACGATAGCTCATCTGTCTACCATGAATAACACCATCTGACGAATAACAAAGCATCAACTTCTACTTTTCTTGCGTCGGGTACTTTGCTTCAACGGCAAGACGTCAACAAGACCACTGCGTGATGGCTTTAGGTACAGTGACTGGCAACCTCATTCCTGCGCGCCTGGGTCTCCGATGAGAATACAAAGACCGATTAAATCTGAGGGAGCAGATAGACGTAGTATATCGCATTTCGCGTCTGATTGAACACACCCTTGGATCCTCCATCGTAGAATACA